GGCAACCACCTCTGCCTGGTCTGTGGCCCCCGGCAGTGAGAAGAAAAGGAGTAAAAAAGGGTAATTAAAGAAAAGAGACAGAGAGAAAGAAAATAAATACACAAACAGCTAAATAAATGCTAATGAAAACGAGCCAGGGCGTGGGGGGGGCTGGCGGGCTCGAGGACATGAATTGATTGCTCCCTGTTAGTCATCGCTAATTGATAATGAGCTCTAGACTGGGAACAAAGATGTCTTAGCGAATGTGTGCATATTCGATGATTAATTAATAATTAATTATTAATCGGTAATAACTATACCAGTAAATACCTGTGGTGGTGAATAAAAATAGTAAACACATGATAACTAATTTGTTGGATAACAATAACATTAATAAAGAGTATTGCAAAATACTAATAAATAAAATAGTTGAACTTCATCAATTGATAATTAATATTATTAATAGTAATTAAGTATTGATGATTAACTGATACTAATTCAAGTAATAAAAACTATTGATCGATTCGATAATTTTTTATTTGTTTCTTTATTGTACACTGATAGACAATAAACAGTGTTGATCAATAGCAATGAATAATTAATAAGAAATCAAATTATTAATAATTAATGGTCGGTTTATTAATTGTTTATTAATTTATTTATCCTATGCCCATAGATTTAGAGCACGCATGCAGACAATGAATAATAACCATACTGATAATCAATAAAGCAAGCATTGATAAATATTAAACAGTAATTAATTAATAACTTAATAAATAACAAATAATTAACAACTTATTAATGTTTATTAATAATTTACTAGTGATACTCTTAACATATTATTATTTATTTACTCCTCAGGCTATTAGTTAGTTAATTAATATTATTTAATGAAAAATAATAAAGAGTATCACTGGATCTTGATAAATAAATCGGTAATAAGTTATAAATTATACAAATGAACATTATTTTGTTAATTATAAATTAACTTAATGATAATGAATTACTTATTAAACTAATGATAAAAAATAAAAACAAAATAGGGCTGATTATTAAAATAATTAAGTTATTAATCTAATTAATACTTACATATAAATACTTATTACTCTAATATAAATAATTGATTAATGGTAAACTAAATGAAGATCAATTAGTGATTTATTTATTAATTTTTATTCATAATTTATTACCGAGGTATTAAATGATTAAGTCATTAATTAATTTTGAAATATTAATAATTTATAATTAAATTAATAATGCTCATGATTTCTTTATCAATTTTCCATTAATTTATTTAGGGTATGCAAAGAGCTAACCGATGATAAATAAATAAGAAGAAAATAGGGTCGATTAATAGCTAGTAATAAATTATTATTCTAATGCATAGACTCACAGAACAATTTGGGTTGGAAGGGACCTCTCAAGCTCATCTAGTCCAACCCCCCTGCCCTGGGCAGGGACATCTTCAACTGGAGCAGGTTGCTCAGAGCCCCGTCCAGCCTGACCTGGAATGTTTCCA